TTATGATAACCAATTTGAGACCAAATGATCTATATATATATATATTGGCAGGCGCGCAAGAATTGCATTTGTGCAGGTCAAAATTTGGTTAGAATTTAGAATATATTTTTGGACATTTAGAGTTTTTTTTTTGCGAAATTCTTTTAATTGTTCTTAAAAATGAAAATTTGCATGGGGTCCACTAAAACATTGAAACAGACCTATGTATTAGCCATTTAAATTTTGGGGAGAAAAAAATGTTTTTATATCCACCATTGTTTCTGTATATTATTACATAGTGGTATGCCGGCGCTACGTGCCGATTTTAGTTATTTTTATAAATTATTTAAATATATGGTTTAGTTGTTAATACACATTTTATATTATTTTATAAATTTAAAATATATCTTTATAGTATCTTAGAAAATAAACTATTTATCGAAGACATGAAAATATATTGATTTGATTATCCTCTTAGGGTAATTGATTTTATGCTGATTATAAAATAAATTCTAATTATATGCATGATAAGTAGTGCCGATTTTTAACATTATTTAGTTAGAGCATAAATATATGGTTCGGTTGTTAATACACATTTTATGTTACTTTATAAACTTTAAAACATATTTTCATGGTATCCTAGATAATTTATAAATTATTTATGAAAGACATGAAGATATATTAATTTAATTATCCTGTCACCGTAATTGATTTTATGCTGATTACAAAAATAATTAAATTCTAATTAAATGCATGATAATTATTAAATATTTACTTAAGAGTATTTCTTTTTTACTTTCATATTAAAATACGTTACATGTGCGAAAGTTTAAAATACTAAGATATATTTTATATTTTAAGAAATATACATGGATAATCAACATCAACATCTCAAAATGGATTATTTTTTCATCCTAATATCTAACGGAGCCAAACCAAAAAAAAAATATTATTACAATACTACAATCACCTACTTAAGTACTTAAGTGAACTATTATACTTCAATGTCATCAAGGGAACTGTCTTATAATTGATATAAAAATATAAAAAATATTTTGCTTATTTAAGTTGGCAAAACATAGCTTTTACAAAACATGATAAGTAATCTAATATGAAAAATATGATGCATATTTTACGTTTAACATTGGCAGAAAATATAGTTTTCACAGACTCTTATTTCAATCTTGTATACATTTGAAATTATAAAAAAAAATTAAGAGTTACTTTATTATTTTAGATCAACATAATAAAAAGATACTTGGACGGTGATATTTTATTAATTTAATAAAATTATGGTTAAGTGTTAATTTTTTTGCTACTCTCGTTTTTTTTTTACAAATATTGTGTATTTAATTTATACAAAACAGATTTTATTAAGTTATAGTTACGTTCCAATCTTGTTTTAAAATATGTACCATTAAAATCAAGAAAATATGCATGTCCAATATTTTAAGGCGTTTTCCAAATGTTATTAGACACTTTAGAATTTTATTAATTACAAAGTTAATATAGGACGTTACTTCACATATTATAATTTGATTGCTTATATTACATACTATAATTTGATTATTCTTTTGTTTCTTAAACGTATACCAAACTGTTTATGTAATTTCTATGTTTAAATTTGTTATTACACTATTTTCTAGTGGTTTACATCACATAAGCTATACTTGAATGACTATGATACATTTTAGTGGTTCAGTAAAAAAAGTATAAAATAGATATCCCAACGTATAAAAATATAAATGAACATGATACTAAATAATATATAATGACAATACAAACTTCACTAAACGACCAAGAAAGAACATGATACTCCTTTTTACTTGATGATGAACATGATACTAAATAATATAGATGAACATGAAACTAACAAATAATATAGATGAACATGATACTAATTACATGTATTATATAACTTGATGATGAACATGTAACATTTGTATAAAAAATCATGATAGAGTAATATTAATTGTTAATTATATTTATTTACAATTAAAATTTTTAATTATGAGAATTTATCATTAATAAATAATGAATTAATAACATTATTTAAAATCGAATAAACAACTTTATTATTACTAGAAAATGTGAAGCAAATAGTTTAAAATAATAATAAAACAAACATAGGAAAAACTACAAAACTAAAACGGAATGCCAATTTAGATATTTTCTTCAAGCAAAAATATCATAGCATTTAGGCTTAAACTTACTAATTATTGTTTAAGGTTTAGTATTTTGGAGGTGGAATTGAGTTTATAAGGTTATAAAAAGTTTTCAAATAATATATATGATACTGAATGTCGTATATTTAAAATTAAATTTTAAAACTTAATTACCTTCAAGATTGTGTTTTCTTCGGCCTTACTACAACATATAATAAAATTATTTATATATTTATTTTAAAATTTATCATCACGAAAATATAGATTTTTTTCACGAAACTATTTTTTTTTTTTAACATTTCACGAAACTATAATTAAGAAGTTATTTACATAATTCAGATTCATAAATATGGTCTTCAACATACAGATAACTTTTGTGACTTTTAAGACTTATCACCACAAAAATATAGAATTTGTTCACGAAACTATTATTAAGAAGTTATGTTTTTATAAACAGTTATTCACACAATTAAGATTCATAAATATGATATTCCACATGCACATAAATTATGTGGCTATAAATGCATCTATGGTCTTCAACATGCACACAAATTTTTGTGGTTGTAAAATGCATGTATTAATAATTTAATTACATGATAAAATAAGAACCCAAAATAATTTCTTTTGGTTGAACAGTTAAAACTCATAGATCATGCAAACCAAAATATATAGTTAATAATAAATAAACATGAATGTTTCAAGCACCTATAATGACAATACCAACTTCACTAAACGACCAAGAAAGATTAGAATATATTTAAGCGAGGAGAATAACACATAATAAGTTAATACAAAAAATAATTCGTGCTAACGAAAGTGTATGATATTTTCATTGACTTGATTAACTTTATTTAACTTTCAAAATTTTATTTCACACTAATTTTTATTTCATATTGAATTCGGTTTAAACTTTTAAATATGATTTTTTTTTAATACTAAGTACAAATATTAACTAGAATTTATGTGGAAAAACAAGTTCCTAATTCTCAGATAAATTGTATATAAATATGCAAAAAGAATGCTAAAACTATAAAATGATTTATTATTTTTATGTTTTATATAAAATTAAAACATCAAACAAAATCTGTGCAACGCACCGATCCATATCTAGTTTTATTATATAAGATTGTTTTTTTTGTTAGTTCTGTTGATTTAACAAAAAAAGTGACCTCTCTTTTTATAGGTATGCTGATGACATCCACGACCGAGGTTGGTCACCATTCTTAGACAGCCAGATGAAGTCAATAAGCACAGACCTTTTTGTCAATACAAGTAACTTCTACAATGTGCCACAGGTTGTGGCAAGAACTGGTGCTGTGCCTACAAATGATAGTCAGCCTCTGACAATAAATTGGAGTCTCAACGAGATCACTGCACAGATATATGTATACATGCATTTCGCAGAAATCGAGAATCTTGAAGCTAACAAGATCAGAGAATTCAACATTCAATGTAATGGTGACGAACATTGGTTATCCTATTTTAGGCCTCCAAAGTTCACAGTTAAAACTATCACTAATTCAAGGGCTATAAGTTCTCCGGATGGGAAATTCAATCTCACTTTGGCGATGACCGGTAACTCAACTCTTCCTCCTCTTATCAACAGCCTAGAGTTATACAAAGTTATAAGCCTTCTACAGCTCGACACAGACCAAGATGAAGGTAATTTGAATATCTATCTTATTAAAACAGAAACACAATATAAAACTACCATTTACTTGGTGTTATTTAATATTTTTATTATTAAAATTTTAAGATCTTTTGTTAAAATAAAACTTTTAAAAGTAATTTTGTACTTTTAAAATGCCGGTAAAAATCTAGTCTTCATTAAAACCAATTTTTAACAAAAGAAAAAGGTTTATGTCTTTTGACTTTGCCTGGTTGATCAGTTTCTGCCATGGTGAACATCAAGAGAAGTTATGAGTTGAAGAAAAAGGTTAGCTGGCAAGGAGATCCATGTGCTCCACAGATTTATCGTTGGGAAGGTCTAAACTGCAGTTATCCAGACTCCAAGCCACCGCGAATCATATCTTTGTATGCTTTGTTTCTTGTTCATCTCAACTACCCTCTTTAGTTTTCAGGGGTTTTCACAAATTCTGATTCTTTTGGACATGAAAACATTAGGAATCTGAGAGGGAACAACTTGACTGGTAGTATAACACCTGAACTCTCCAAGCTAACACAGTTGATAGAGTTGTACGTGCCTCAACACAAATAAACTTAAGTATTTTATATGGTTTATTGCGGTGGAACAAGTATATATGACTCTGCACAAACTCTTTTTTTACCTCTCCATGAACAGAGACTTATCAATGAACGATTTATCAGGAGATATTGCAGATTTTTTTGCTGATATGAAGTCGTTGAAACGCATGTGAGTTTTTCTATATCAACACCCTGTTTCTGTTTTTATCTTTAATTTTTGTTTGTTTTGAAAGCTTGAGCTTTCTAAATTTGCAGAAAATTAAGTGGAAATCCAAATCTCAATGGAAAAATTCCTGACTCTCTTAAGAAAAGGTTAAAGAGCCATTCTTTAACACTAATGTAAGATGTTCATACTTCATTGATTAAATCTCAAATTATTAAGAGAGATGAAAGTTATATATATAACTCCCGGCAAAAAGAAAAATGCCTTATATCTATGGTTTCCCATCATTTTTATTGACTACAGTGTGAGTGAAAGAAAAAAGGTTCCAGTGGTTGCTATAGTGCTTGGAGTGTCTGCTCTGCTAATTATCTTGGCCATCTTTTTTGTCTTCCTCCGATGGAAAAGAAGTAGGACTACAGTTTTTGTTTTAGTCTTACATTCACATAGTTTTTATTCTATTCATTTTACATTTCACTGAAGGTTTAGTTAAAAGGAAGGCAAGATCATTCAACTCATCAATCACAAGAAAAGACCTCATGATCACGTATCCCGAGATACTGGAGATGACTAATAACTTTGAGAGAGTTCTTGGAAAAGGAGGGTTTGGAACAGTGTATCATGGAAACCTGGATGATACTCAAGTAGCTGTGAAAGTGCTCTCTATCTCATCAGCTCAAGGTTATAAAGAATTCAAAGCAGAGGTACTTAAACAAGACATAAATCCCTTAGTCTTGCTTTAAATTTGTCGTTTATGAAATGGTGATTCTGTTATCTTTCTCAGGTGGAGCTTCTTTTAAGAGTTCACCATAGACATTTGGTGGGACTTGTAGGTTATTGTGATGATGGAGATAACTTGGCTCTCATCTATGAATACATGGCAAATGGAGACCTGCAGGAGAATATGTCAGGTATAACTTTTAAAAATATATGATGATTTTATTTTTGGTGCAACCTCAGTTTATTACAACATAATACAGGAAAACGCGGTGGCAATGTCCTAAGCTGGAAAACTAGAATGCAAATAGCTGTAGAGGCAGCTCAAGGTGAATAAAAAACTCACTTGACTTTCATTTTATTTTTAACTACTACAAAGACAATTTTTGCGTCTGGTTCTCTCAAAGGAGAATTGAGATACGCAATAACCAATTTTCAACAGGATTGGAGTATCTACACAATGGATGTGAGCCTCCCATGGTCCACAGAGATGTGAAAAGTACCAATATCTTACTGAATGAGCGGTATGTAGCAAAGTTAGCTGACTTTGGGCTCTCAAGATCTTTCCCAATAGATGGTGAAGGCCATGTGTCTACTGCGGTTGCGGGCACACCTGGATACCTAGACCCAGAGTGAGTGAATCAATCACTTACGTTTGTTTTTTTTTCTTTTTGCTCAAATGAGTACTGAAGAATGTTAAACTCTTTCAGGTACTATAGAACAAACATTCTAAGCGCGAAGAGTGACGTATACAGCTTCGGTATAGTGCTGTTAGAGATCATGACAAACCAGCCTGTGATAGATAAAACCAGGGAAAGACCTAACATCAATGAATGGGTTGGGTTCATGCTCACTAAAGGAGATATCATGAGCATCATCGACCCGGAACTGATGGAGGACTATGACACAAATGGTGCGTGGAAGATTGTAGAGTTGGCTCTGGCTTGTGTGAATCCGTTTTCGAACCGGAGACCAACAATGGCACAGGTTGTGGTGGAGCTAAATGAGTGTGTGTCCTTAGAAAATGCAAGGAGACAAGGTAGTGAAGAGGTGCATTCAATAGATTATTTTGGCATTAGTCTGTCTTCTGCTTCTGAATTTACCCCTGGAGCTAGATAAAATTGGAAAATCTCCCAGTTGGTACTTGGTGTTTTTTTTTACTGATAATAAAACGGCTAATGTCCGGATCCGGTGGCTGCGGTCCTGAGGCAGTATCTGTCAGCTTGAACGAAACAAACAATACAATATTACTTAATAGTTAAAATAATATAAACCAAAATTTAATTTATATAATTTTTAAAAAAACTTATAGTCACTACTAATTTATAACATTAACACAATCATATATTTATATATTTTCTTAGAAATATTTTTAATTATGTTATCAAATTATGTTACATTTTAAGTTGATCCAATTTTTAAATCTATAAATTCATTTATTCATCTTATTTATTACTTTATTAAATTATATAGTATACTATCTTTATAATTGCATGGTATTATTAAGTGAAATTTACAATTTTCCTTTTAGAAGATATAAAAACACACACCACGTCAACAATCAGTTTTGTTCTAAAAAAGGTCAACTATCAATGGTGGTCGTGTTTCAAAAAAAAAAAAAAAAAAACTATCAATGGTGGTAGTTTTATATTTTGTGGCGAAATTGGACGCGCCAACAATTATATAATGGAAGTCAGCTCTTTGTTTGGAGACAATGTAGTTTAACGACGAGGTCATAGATCACAATTGCCAAAATACTCATTCGTTTGAAAAACACTCAATTTTTGTTTTATTCCAATAGAAACAGGATTACAATTAAAAGAAATTGAAATATATTACCTATTAAAATTTGTCAAGGCATATTTAAAAAAATAAATATTTTACAATACTTTTTCTCTGTCATTCTTACATTTGTTTTGTGTGAAGACAAGTAAGGAGTTCGAATAGAGGCAACTGAAACGCTTTATTCATTTTTCCCTTTCGTTCTTCCTGGTTTCCTTAATAGTTTTATTGATGGATTTCATATTATTCTTATTTTTTCAATTGATTCCACATTCTATTATAGAATTTGAACGCTTCCACGCCTGACATCAGAAAGAATGTCGTAGGCAACTAAGGCTAGTAGAGTTACAATCACCTGATATAATCTAATGTTGAAGACTTTGCACAAAGTTGACCAATATATATTTATCTCAGTTTCTTGCTAATCAATAGCAATGAACAATGAATAATAGTGTCCTCTGAATCTGATTCAGCTATTCAAGAAGAAATGAAGTTTCTTGATTGGTTTCTTCTTCTCTTGATCAGTTCTCTTACCATTCTGAGATCAGTTGAAGCTCAAAACCAAGCAGGTTCTTGAAAACTCGATGATATTTGTTTTTCATTACTCTTTTTGAAAGCTTTTTATATGTTTATCTTTCTGGTGTTGGTCATGAACAGGATTCATCAGCTTGGATTGTGGATTGGTGCCTACGAACACAACTTATGTGGAGAAGACGAACAATATAACATACAAATCAGATGCGGATTACATTGATAGTGGATTGGTGGGGAAGATCAATAATGCTTACAAGACTCAGTTTCAGCAACAGCTTTGGGCCTTGAGAAGCTTCCCTGAGGGTCAAAGAAACTGTTACAACGTCAACGTCACAGCGAACAGCAAATATCTGATCAGAGGGAGCTTTTTGTATGGGAACTATGACGGCCTGAATCAACTCCCTAGCTTTGATCTTCATATTGGTCCTAACAAATGGTCTTCTGTTACAATAGAAGGAGTAGCAAATTTTTCAATGACCGAGATCATCCATGTCGTAAAGCAAGAACGTCTTCAAGTTTGTCTTGTTAAGACAGGACCAACAACACCGTTCATCTCGTCTCTTGAACTTCGTCCGTTGCCTAACCAGAGTTACGTCACACTGCACAAACCGGATCTTTGAAGCGTTTCGCCAGAGTATACTTTTCAACCAGTTCAAGCGTCATCAGGTTCTAACAGACCATCTTTTTTACACAATGTTCTGAAAAACAGTTTAGGCATGGTCAAACTTCTTTTCACCGATTTATGTTATATACTCTCTCCGTTTCATTTTACATGTGGTTTTAGGTTTTTTCACATAAATTAAAAAATATTTAAGTTTATATATGTTCACATAACCACTTTTAAACCAATAAAAACTAAAATTAAAAAAATATGCATCGAAATTATAAAACGACATTCGTTTTGAAACGAAATTTTTTCTCTACAACGATATATAGATTGAAACGGAGGGAGTAATATTTTATATGGATTTTAACAAATTGGATGCATAATAGCGTCATAGGAAAATAGTATGCTATCTTAACAGATGCTTAGACGGCATTTGATTTATTTGTTAAATAAGTTTATATTTCTATATTTATCTATAATCATATATTTATTAAACTATTTTTATAAATAAAATTTAGATTTGATATAAATTTCTGATATATATATGTCGACTATATATTTGCTTAGATCATCTCTAATCCTACTTCATTTTTCATTTTTTTCATTTTTCATTTTTACTTCATTTTGAAGTAAGTTTTGTTTCAACACTACTTTATTTCATATTTCAAAATTAAGTAATAAAAAGTGTTGTTTCAAATTTAAAGATATATTCTTCACATCTTCAGTTTTGAAGATATTTTTTTTTAAATGTAAATATTGATACTTAACTTACATATCATTATCTTTTACCAAACTAATTTATATATCTTGACTTTACCCAATTAATTTCAAATTTTTTACTATATTTTCATGAAATCAGATGTTTATATCGAAAAATATATGAGTATTCATTTTTAAGAATTTTTAACTCGACTAAAAAGATCAAAAATAAATAAGTTCATCTCTTACTTTTAAAAAATATTCTTAAACCAATTAGTTAGGTAAATTAGTAAATATGAAAAATTATAAATTTTTATTAATAATTGATAGTAAAGTGGAGATGGAAGATACTTGAAATATTAGTTTTACAAGAAATAAATGAAGCATTTTCTTTTTTCATATTTTGTCAAAAATGAACTTTTGAAGATAAAAGTGAAACCAACCATCGGAAATACTCTTACACAATTTAGGGTTCGCATATACTTCTAAATGTTAGAAGTCCGTCTAATGAGTTATTTTAGCCTTTTAGGTCATAAAAGAGTTTTGTGCTTGTTTCATCTATGCTTGTTCTCGAAGTAACCAAAAAACAAAACATGTTTCCAGGTATGAAGAGGACCCAAACGACCAAATGTGGAGTCCATTCTTGAATACTTATACCAAAGCGATAAGCACTGATCTCCATGTTGATACAAGTCTTAGCTTCTACCAAGTGCCTCAAGCCGTGATAAAGACTGCCGGTGTCCCAGCAAATGCTAGTGAGCCATGGAGCATATGGTGGACTCTTGATAACACCACTGAACTGTCATATGTATACATGCATTTCGCCGAGATCCAAACTCTAAAAGCCAATGAAGTTAGAGAGTTTAACATTACTTACAAGGGTGGCAAAACTTGGTACCCCAGGCTCAGGCCTGAACGTCTCGCCATTACATCCTTCTCCAATCCAAATGCCATGAGTTCTCCTGATGGGACATTTAACTTCACTTTCACAATGACTGAAAACTCAACTCTTCCTCCGCTTCTCAATGCCCTCGAGATTTATACAGTTGTAGACCTTCTACAGCTTGAGTCAGATAAAGATGAAGGTAACACATGTTCCTATGTCATTCTATGATGATAATTGATAAAACGTCTTTTCTTTTAACCTGAGATGAGTTTGAATGTGATGATTAGTTTCTGCTATGATGAACATCAAGAAGACATATAATTTAAGCAAAAAGCTAACCTGGCAAGGAGATCCATGTGTTCCTCAGCTATACAATTGGGAAGGTGTTAACTGTAGTTATTCTGATTCTGAGCCATCACGGATCATATCCTTGTATGTTCTCCACTCTTTATCACAAGGTTCTCAATAATTATATTATGGCTTTAAAAAACTTCTTTTATGTTTCACAAATAATAGGAACTTGAATGGGAACAAGTTGACTGGTACCATAACATCTGACATATCCAAGCTAACACAGTTGATAGAGCTGTAAGTATCTGAACTGTAACACCAATAATAAGACTTTGCTTGTGGTAGGAGAAAATAATATCTCTGCAATAACTTTGTTTCTTTCTCTATTTTAATTTATGGACAGAGATTTATCAAAGAACGATTTAACAGGAGAGATTCCAGCCTTTTTTGCTGATATGAAGTTTTTGAAACTCATGTAAGCTTCTCTCTTCCCTCTTTCCCTTGCTTCTCTTTTTTGTTCTGTTCTGAAATATTCAGTTCTTTTATGTTTTCTTACACAGAAACTTGAGCGAAAACCCGAATCTTAATATCACAGTTCCAGCTTCTATTCAGGAACGGCTTGACAAAAAATCTCTAACACTTATGTAAGATGACCATATATATACTTTATTTGCTTAAAAGGTATATATCATACTCCCTTACATCACTTTAATTGGTTACAGTTTGGATGGTACAATGATTCCGCCTGTCAAAGGAAAGAGTAAAAAGGTTCCAATGGTTGCTATCGCAGCACCAGTGGCTGGAGTGTTCGCTTTGGTAGTTATCATGGCCATTTTCTTCGTTGTTAGGAAGAAAAAACCAGAAAGCAATTCAGGTACGTATGCTCTTGAGATTAATGAAAAAAAAATGAAAACCTACTCTATTCATTTTACTTATTTTTGTATGATTTTAACAGCTCCAAGACCCCCACCAGTCACTCCGAGTGTAGCTAAAAGTGAGACAAGATCATCCAATCCATCAATCATATCAAAGGACCGCAGGATCATGTACTCCGAGGTAGTAGAGATGACTAATAACTTTGCGAGAGTTCTTGGTAAAGGAGGCTTTGGAACAGTGTTTCATGGAAACTTGGATGGTACTCAAGTAGCTGTGAAAATGCTCTCTCATTCATCAGCTCAAGGGTATAAAGAATTCAAAGCAGAGGTATGCTTAATCTTTTGTTTTTAAACATTGTTAAGTTTCTCTGTCATGAAATGGTAATTATGTTATCTTTCTCAGGTTGAGCTTCTTTTAAGAGTTCACCACAGGCATTTGGTGGGACTAGTGGGGTACTGTGACGATGGAGATAACTTGGCTCTCATCTATGAATACATGGCCAATGGAGACCTGAGGGAGAATATGTCTGGTAAACGCTTTCACTACATGACTGACTTAACCGAAACTATCTCCTTCCACGGTTTAAAACATTAAAAAACTCGGTACAGGAATGCGCGGAAGCAATGTCCTGACATGGGAAAACAGGATGCAAATAGCTGTAGAGGCAGCTCAAGGTAGACACAACTCAACTCATTCTCTCTTACCATTATGTTCTTTTAGAAGAGAATGTTGCATGTTCTGAACATGATGCCTGAAAAACAAGACTGGTATTAACAGTAATCATGTTAAACAGGATTGGAGTATCTGCACAATGGATGTAGGCCTCCTATGGTCCATAGAGATGTGAAAACCACCAATATCTTGTTGACTGAGCGGTATGGAGCAAAACTAGCTGACTTTGGTCTCTCGAGATCTTTCCCAATCGATGGTGAATGTCATGTCTCAACAGTTGTTGCAGGCACACCAGGCTATCTAGACCCTGAGTGAGTTGATCAATCCATCTTCTGATTTTTCTTGTTGTGGACTGAATTTAAAAGATAATATATATATGTCTCTGATACTATTTTCAGGTACTACAGAACAAATTGGCTAAGCGAGAAGAGTGATGTGTACAGTTTTGGAGTAGTGCTATTAGAGATAGTCACAAACCAGCCTGTGATAGATAAAACTCGAGAGAGACCTCATATCAATGAATGGGTTGGGGTCATGCTCACCAAAGGAGACATCAGGAGCATCATTGACCCAAAACTGATGGGAGACTATGACACAAACGGTGCATGGAAGATTGTAGAGCTGGCTATGGCTTGTGTGAACCCGTCTTCTAACCAGAGACCAACAATGGCACACGTTGTGATGGAGCTAAACGAGTGTGTGGCCTTGGAAAATGCAAGGAAACAAGGTACTAACGAGATGTACTCAATGGATTCATCTAACTATAGTCTATCCTCTGCGTCCGAGTTTGCCCCTGGAGCAAGATAGCTTTAAAATATGTTTGATGTGAATTTATAAAAATTTACTTGGTTTGAAAAAAAGTAAAATTATTTGGTTTGCTTTCCCTTGTGAATATCCCAGTTTATGTTTTTTTGCTGAAGCAATGCACGTTTAATGTTTTTGAAGAAATCCAATTGTTGTAACAAAAATCCAAATATTGTTTCTTGTGTGTTGAATTAATAAAATTTGGATGAATGTTCGTTGTAATGAACTATATGTTTATACGTAGAACATAGAATGTAAAATCTTCTGAGTATACAATTAGGACACAAAAACGTGGTGATGGTGGGTATGTGTTTATACCATCAACGTATTTAGAATATATACTAGGTGTTTTGCCCGCACATGCGAGCATAATTTTCATATAATTTATTATTAATCTATATTTTATTAATTCAAACAAAAATAATAAGTTATGATTTATGTTTTAAATTAATTAAATGACAACACTCACATAATAAAATATTTTTATATATATTTTTACAAATGTGTTGCTTTAATTTATTTTAATTATATTTTTTCTATCTTAATTTTTTATTTCTATAATAAAACATATATTTTTAAAATAACAATATAATACATAAGAAGTATCTTATTTTATCAAAATATAATTTTTCATAGAAATTCGTTTTTGTTTTATAATAAATTTTATATGAAACTATTAAAAATATGACAAATAATCAAAATTATCTAAATCATGGAGAAATTACAAATCAGATAATTCACTTAAATTTTGTAATAGAAAATATATGTTCAAGATAACAATCTAATAGATAAGAATTATCTTTTTTTTTTTTAAATCTAGTATTATTATATACATTCATTTTATTATTAAATAAATTATATATGAAATTATTAAAATATGATAAATAAGCAAAGTATAAAACCATGGAGAAATTGATAAATCAGTATTGCTTTTTTATATTTAACTATTAATATTTTAACTTAATTTTGATTTCTATGATAAAAAATATATTTTTAAGATAACAATATAATACATAAGAATTATCTTATTTTCTAAAAGTATAATATTATTAATAGAAATTCGTTTTAATTATTAATAATATAATTTTTATATATTAATTTTAGAAAAATATTAAATTATGAATATAAATTCGTTTTAATTATATTTAAATACTAAGTTATTAATATAAATTCGTTGTAGATAAATATAATAGTGTTTATATCTTAATTTAAAATTTAAGTTTTATATATAAAAATATATTTCAAGATAACAACATAATTCATAAGAATTATCTTATTTTTAAAAATATAAGAGTATTAATATAAATTCGTTTTTATTAAATAATAAATTTTATATGAAATTATTTAAATAAGGTAAATAAAAAAATTTACCTAAAATCAAGGAGAAGTTGACAACTAAGCAAATTTACTTCTTAAATAATAGTATAGATATATATACTAGATTTCGACCCGCGCTTGAAAGCGCGGAAATTTTTTATGATTAAAAATTTATATAATTGGGTTTTTTCTTAGTTTAAAGAATATTTTGATATAAAAGCAGTTCACCAAAATTTGTGGTGATGATTATTTTTCATTAGTTTTTAGTTTCAGTTTTTATTTTTAGATTTTGGTTTTTAGTTTTTAGTTTTTAGTTTTTAAGTTTCTGCTTTTCATTTTCAGTTTTGGGTTTGGGTTTTTAATTTTTAGACCCGCTGAGTTAGTTTAAACTAATATTATCAACAAACAAATCTCAAATAATCGAACATCTAATTCAAAACTGAAAAGATGACAACAAATTTAAAAATAAAAATTGAAATAGTTTATTTTGTAAATAAACAAAGCAAAAAAATATAACATGTGTTTTCAGCTTTTGGTTTTGGATTTTAGTTTTTAAATTTGGTTTTTGGTTTTTCTTTACATTTTTTAATCTGTAAATTATTTAAGAAAAATAAAATAATAAATTATTTAAAAGTTACCATTGAAATTTATCAAAACAAAGTGATTGTTATTTAGAATACAAAAATATTAACATGTTTTAAAGTATATGATTTAAATAAATGATTAATTAATAGATAATTTTGTTTTGTTAAAAATATTAAATATCTTTTGGTCTGAAAAAAATAATTGATTTTTTGATCTTTTAAGGTGAAAAATTTATTCAATGTTTTTAGAGTTTTTTTCTTAATACTAAGCCCAAAAACCAAACTATATAATTTGTTCAAAAGATAAAAGTATGCCCAAGACTATATTCCATAAATAACCACTGGTTTAATTTAAGTATAATTAGTAGATTTCCATATTCTATATTTTGATGATATATATTCTTTTAGAACATTCCATATTTGTAGGAGAAAATATGTGTTTTCGGTATACACATAGATACCTGCCATATTTTGAAGGTAGTTTACATTAAAATCGTCTCTTTACATTATTTGTGTTGGTTTAATTTAAGTAATATGGTTCAATCAATTATATGACTTATATTATTTGTAACATTCTAGAAAGGGTCCAAATTTAAATGACAACTTATATCAGTAGATAAAAAGAATGACTCTGTTTTATATCTATTCTATTAAAATAGAGTCATTCTTTTTATCTACTGATACAAGTTGTCATTTAAATTTGTACTCTTTCTAAAGTGTTACAAATAATAGAAGTTATATAGTTGATTGAACCGCATTACTTAAATTAAACCTGCGGTTATTTATGCAATAGAGTTTTGGGCTTACTTTTGTTTTTATGACATTTAATTGTTTGGTTTTTGGGCTTAGTATTAAAGAAAAACTCCAAAAACACTAAATAAACTTTCCACCTTAATGGATCAAAAATCAATTACTATTTTCAGGTCCAAAAATATTTAATATTTTCAACAAAACAAAATTATCTATTATTAATCACTTATTTAAATCATGTACTTTAAAATATGTTAATATTTTTTAGCCCAAAAATATTTAATATTTTCAACAAAACAAAATTATCTATTATTAATCACTTATTTAAATCATGTACTTTAAAACATGTTAATATTTTTTATTTTTTAAAAAAATCACTCTATCTTGATAAATTTTAATGGTAATTTTTAAATAATTTATTATTTTATTTTTCTTAAATAATTTACAGATTAAAAAAAAAAATGTTTAGCAAAACCAAAAACCAAATCTAAAAACTAGAATCCAAAACCAAAAACTGAAAACGCATGTTGTATTTTTTGCTTTTTTTCTTTACAAAATAAACTATTTCAAAATTTTTAGAAAATTATTTTGTCATCTTTTCAGTTTTAAATTACATGTTCGATTAATTGAGATTTGTTTGTTGGTAATTTCAGTTCAAACTAACTCAGCGGGTCTAAAAATTAAAAATCCAAACCAAAAGCTGAAAATCAAAAATAGAAACTTAAAAACTAAAAACCAAAATTTAAAACAAAATCTAATAATAAAAACTGAAACTAAAAACTAATGAAAAATAACTATCACCACAAATTTTGGTAAACTAATTTTATACCATAACATTCTTTAAATTAAGACAAAACTTAATTATATAAATTTTTAATCATAAAAAATTTCTGCGCTTGAAAAGCGCGGGTCAAAATCTAATATATATATATATATATATATATATATATATATATGCAGGGCGGCTCAAAACGTTTAAGGGCCCTGGGGCAAAATAAAAAAGTGACCCTTCTACATACAAAAATGAATGTTAGTATTATAGCTAGCAAATACAATCGTTCTCGTTTGAAAAGGTAAACGCAAACCATAAAAATAAAACAATTTTGCTCTTTTAAGAATCAAAGACTGAATTGATAGAGCTAGAAGTTAAGTAAAGGAAAAATACACCTGGATTTCTGCTTGGATTAAGAATCAAAAACTGAATTGATGAAGCTAAAACTGAAATAGATACCTGAAACAAGAAACAAAAACAATCCACAGAGGTTTCAGAAAAGAAAAAAATATTTTGTTCAATACCAAAACAAAATCAGTGATCTGTGTTTATGCACAGAGAAAAAAAAAATAGGATAGTAAACAAAATAATCAAGATCACTTACACAAAATAATCCTTGAACAGGATAGTGATGCAAGAATCCTTGAATAATCAACGATTTTATGTTTCAGGTCTTTTAAAATTGTATCACTGGAAATATGAACAGTTTTTTCAGAAGAGGAAAGACCTCTTGATGATATATTTATGCCTTAAAAACTCACTTTATTACAGTAACTATTATTAATGTTGATTATAGTATTTTATTAGCTAATTATAATTTGGGAAAAATTTATACAGATTAACATAAATAAGATTTTGTTTCCATAGAGTTAGATTTACGAATTTCGTATTTATTAATTTCGTTTAAAAAATATATATTTATAATTTACAAAAAATTTATATTACTACTACATCAAAAAAAAAGAATTATGGGTCCCTTCCAGCTAGGAATGTTGAGATGGGTAAAATTACCCAGCCCGACCCGAACCCGAAAAACACCCGCCCAAAAAATACCCTAAACTTAAAAACCCGAAAAAATCCAGTATTATTTGGGTAACCCGCGAAAAACCTGAAATTTATAGGGTTATCCACGGGTACCCGTGAAAAACTCTCTTTTTTTAAGTTTTGTGGGTTTTAGGTAAAGTATTAATTATAATTTTAAATAAATTTATATGTATTGGATATTTATTTTTTTATCATGTTTTGAGCTTTATAGTTTTATACTAAATTTTGAGCTTTAGAAAGATAATGATTAAAAATATATCATCACATGTACGTTAAAGAAGAGAAGCATGACTAATATAGAATCTCGATTATATTACATAAATCCAAGAGAAATAATCCAAAACAGAGAAGATAATTAAACAAGTTCAAAAGCAAAGAGCCTCATGATATGTTGTTAAACAAATTCAAAAGCAGAAACAAAGTTCAGAACTTAAGCAGAAACAAACCAACTTTAAAATCACCCAAGACTTTGTTTAACTCATTCCAAAACTACTTGTTGTGGTTATAGGATCCTTGTCTTCATCAAAATAATCTTCATCCCCTGAAATTATAAAATATAATCTGTAGTTACATAAAAAAGTTATATATGAAACAAGAAAACACAATTTCAAAACTAATAATTTACCTTCAAATTCAGCAAAACCTCTTAACCATTTTCGAGTACACATCAGAGCTTGAACATTTTTTGAAAGAAGACGGTTTCTGAAAGGACTTATCACTCTTCCTCCAATGCTAAATGCTGATTCTGATGCCACAGTTGTGATTGGAATGCTGAGCACATCACATGCAAGAGAAGCTAAATCGCCATAGCGTTGTCCTTGATCTTTCCAATAACCTAAACTTCTGTGCCGGTGAAAGACCTAGAATCTAGCCTAGGATCTTCTAAATACATCTCCAGATTCGTCTTCTTATTATCTAAACCAGGATCGATGCTCCGCTCAAGTTCAAACAGATCCTACGTTATTGTATTAAGCATCACATTAGATAGATAAGTAGATTATGACATATGAATTTATACACAACAAAAGACTTACATAATTCAGATCATCTTCTAATGGTGACTCCGTAAGAAGCTCATGTGGAGTTGGTGTTGCTGAAGAGGTTGAAGAACTCCGAAACTTGGTTCCATACTCTTCATAAAGCTTTTTCAAATTCTTCTTGACAACTTCAACTTTTTTCTCAGCATTTCTTGGATCCACTTTGTCATAAGCTGTTCTAAGTATTTGAAGCTTCAATCTTGGATCTAAAACAGCTGCCATAGCTAAAATGAGACCGTATTCATCCTAATACTTAGAGAACTTAACTCTCATTCTCTTAGCCATCTCTTTCATCACTTGATCATCACAAGCAGAATACTTCATCAGTAAGCATTCAATTTTCCATACTTGTAGAAAATATGCATTAGCCGTGGGATAATTAACGCCTGAGAAAAATTCAGTAATCTTGCTGAAAGGTTTCAAAAACTCGCAAATTTTTTTCCCCTCGCTCCCACTCATCATCTGAAGGCAGTGATCTATAACTCCTGTCACACTCTTTAAAACTAACAAATGCAGCACGGAACTTCAGAGCTCTAGTGAGCATATCATAAGTCGAATTCCACCTTGTTGGTACATCTAGAGACAATCTTGCTCCACATTTAATCCTTGCACTATGAACACATGCAGCAAATGCTTCGATTCTTGATCCAGATGCTTTGACAAATTTAACACTCTCTCGAATATTTTCAAGAATACCAGCAGCTAGCTCTAACCCTTCTTTCAGTATGAGATTTAAAATGTGGGCACAACATCTAACATGAAAGAACTTCCCCTCACACAGCAACCCTTTACACGAAGCAACTTTAACAATGAATCCCCAACAAAGTATTCGATTTATGGGCAATAAAACAAATCCTAGACTACAAAAAAAGTACAGAGAAATGAAAATCAACTGAAGCAGATAAGGGTACTAAGAACCAAATCTGGAGATAGATGATTTGGATGAACTTGAAGCTATGATCTTTGAAACTCGATCTAGAATGAATCGTCGCAAGAAAGCATGTCTAATAGATAGTTCTACGATTTGTGGCTGTGGTCACGGGAGAGATAAAATTTTAGGGTAAAATATAACGTAAAACGACGTCGTTTTGGTTTTTTTTTCCTAAAAAACCCATGGGGTACCCGAAACCCGACAGTGTAAACTCGTTAGGGTAATTACTAACACAAGACCCGCGAAAATTAAAATCTAAACATACGGTTTTCGGGTTTCAAATTTTAACCGGGTTTCGGGTACCCTATGGGTAAAAACCCATTATTAACATCCTTACCTCCAACAATGGGCCCTGAGCGGGTACACTGCATGTCTCTATTCTTCAGCAGGCCCTGTATGTTACAAAGCCATATCAAACGAACAACACAGCGATTGAACACAGCGATTAGACGCTAGTAGCGCGACAACTATGAAATGAACAACACAATTTGTCATTCGCTATCGTCAGCCACTACCCAATGAAAACACAAACTGTCGTTGGTGGCTATCGCCAGCGACTACCAAATGAATAGGGCCATAATAAACATTGTTTTCTAGATCATCTACATTTTTTTCCGGTCAATCGTACCCATGTACTCTGGTTCTTGATTAATTTTGGATAACCAATTTTCGAAAGGAGGTTAGGAGGAGAACAAGAAGTTAAGACTATTTATGTTAGAACATCTTTGATGGAGAGTATTTTAAAGTCAACTCTATTCGACAAAAAAAAAAAACTCTTATGATCGTTGACTTTTGACGGTGGAGATTCAATCAGTAAACTTCATCCAAAACGACCAAGAGACTGATCAAACAATGCAGTAATATCCAAAAGTCAAATTTAGCGAGTACGTAAGATTCAATCTTAGTACGTTATTTTTTTTGTTCGTTTTTCTTTACATTTTTTTTAAGGTAAAATGTTCGTTTTTCTTTGTTATTTTGGGCATGGAATAAGTGATAATACAGTCAAAACGTACTGAAGTTGATCCTTTATAGAGTCGTGAACATGCATCGAACTTGCTTTTGTAGGAAAAATTTTCATAGCCGCCAGGCCAAGGGACAAATCACATCAAATCACATCCTTGTACGTACTACCCGTGTGTGTGCATGTGAATCACTGAGCTTTCACCATCAGCTTCAGTTTCGGCTGAATTATTGTTCGTTTTCCCATGACGACCAAACTAAAGCGTGTTATTTATAGTTTACTTGACTTAGTCAACGTTTTCGATGAAAGACGTGAGTGAGTTTTTGACAACTTAATCATTCTTGTCATTTTTCTCTCTACTTGCTGTACCGAATTATTTTGCACCTTAGAAATTTGGTCGTCAATCAAATTATTCGATTCATACTAGTATCTGACTTTTGAAATATAGGTCCTATAATCATTAAACTCATATGCGTTACTTCGCCATATATCTCAAGAATAAAATAGATCCCTCTCCTTTGAACCGTGAGTGAGGGAAAACATGGAGAGACATTGTGTGTTCATGACTACTTTCATGCTGATACTTCATCTAATTCACGCTCAAGATTCAACCAGTACGTACATTTTTATAGTACTTAATAATATATATATATGTGTGTTCTTCAATGGTTTCTTAGATTATAAGATATTCATTTTCAATCCATCATTATATCATTAGGGTTCATCAATGTAGGTTGCGGTTTACCCTCTCATGAATCTCCTTACAACGCACTCTCAATCTAGTTCATATGTTTTCTTCACATTAAATCCACAATCTTTCATAGATTGCTGGTATGCATATGTTCCACAAAGATTAGAGAAAATATTTATGTATTTGCCTTTTGATTTACATAGATTGCTAGTCAAATGAGAACTTCAATCTTTATATCTATTGTATAATATTAATATTATATTTGTGTTCTTCAACGGTTTCTTGGTTTATAAGTTGTTTTTTTTTCATCCCATTATGATCTCATTAGGGTTCATCAATGTGGGTTGCGGTTTACCCCCTCATGAGTCCCCTTACAACGCACTCCCAACCGGTTTAGCATATACATCAGATATCGGTTTAGTTAACAGTGGTAAAACCGGAAGAATCGCCAAGGAGTTTGAACCGAACTACACTAAACCGTTAAACACGTTAAGATATTTTCCAGATGGAGTACGTAACTGCTACACTCTCAATGTCACACGCGACACCAAGTACCTGATCAAGGCCAAGTTCGTATATGGAAACTACGATGGTCTTAAGACCGACCCAAACTTTGACCTTTACTTCGGTCCGAATATATGGACAACTGTGTCTAAAAATGATACTAAAGAGGAGATCATCCATGTGACGAAATCTAATTCTCTACAGGTATGTCTTGTTAAGACAGGAACAAGTATACCTTATATAAATGTCTTGGAGCTACGACCATTGCGGAGAACTGCGTACGTAACTCAAAGTGGCTCGTTGAAGTACTTATTCAGGGTGTACTTTAGCAACTCCGGTCTTGGTGTACGGTACGAAATGATATAAAGTTCCACGTTACACAAAACATAAGTGTTTTAATTATTTGTGTTATAATTAGAGAAGAGAATTTAGATTTATATGTTTGTTCAAAAAAAACCACAATCTTTGTTACCCCTTTTAATTAAATAAATCTGTAAAGTTAAACTTGCCTTTTGAATTAGATATATAGATTACTAGTATGTTTGGTGTATGGATTGGGTTTGATTCAGATTTATTCAGGTTTCGTGTTTTTGGATGCATTTGTTTAAACCTCATTTTGGTATTTACATAAAAAGATGGTTTGATTCAAGATTGGTTCAGAACTTTGCAGACTTTGTTAGAATTCGAGTACATAATTAAACATATTTATCTAAACTTATTTTAAAATTCAAGTTTATTTAGAAGTACTCAGAATCCAGAAAAATTAGTATAAATATATAAATTTGAAATTTATAATCAAATACCAAAATATACATTAAATTGAGCATATAAGTTACATATTCATGTTTTATATGCATATTTTATGCACTCCTGAGATTTTTGAGTATTTTTGGGCATCTTCTAGGATTGAGTACGGGTTTGGTATTATTTTTTATGAGTTTTGAAAATTTCCGAGTATTTTTTGAGTTTGGTTCAGTTTGAGCAAAACCAGAACTGTGGAATAAGACTCATTCGGGTATTTATGTCGAATTTGGTTCAGATTCATTTTTTTGGTTCGGTTCAGATTTTCAGATTTGGTTTGTATACTCACTTCTAATTGCTACTGTGTTTTATTTCAAATAAGAACTTCAAATCTTTATTTTCTTAACTAAAATCTTTTGTAAGGAATTAAGTTGCAGATCAACAACATAAAAAAAAATTATATTAACGTGGTCTAATACAAAACTGTGGCAGGTATCCAGATGATATCTATGACAGAGAATGGTTCGCATACTTCGACGAGAAGTCATGGACACAAATAACAACGAAACTAACGGTAAACATTACCAATAATTATGAGTTACCACAATTGGTAGCAGCAACAAGTGCAACACCTCTAAACGATACCGAGACATTGAACATTACATGGACCGTAGAGCCTCCTACTGCAAAGTTTTACACCTACATGCACTTTGCAGAGCTTCAGACTCTAAGGGCCAACGATACAAGGGAATTCAACACGACGATGAATGGACAATATTCATATGGACCTTATACTCCTACACCATTAAAAATCGAAACAATACTCGACGTAAAACCAGAGCAATGCGACGAAGGGACATGTCTTTTGCAGCTTGTGAGGACGTTAAAATCAACTCTTCCACCTCTACTTAATGCTATTGAGGCTTTCACTGAGATTAATTTCCCGCAAATGGAGACAAATGGAGACGATGGTATGTAGATTTCAGTTCTTGATCTTATATATCTTGAATTTTTTTTTGTATTGAGTCTTGACATCATCAAGCTTTACATTCGCAGTTTATGGTATCAAGAATGTTCAAGAAAGTTTTGGACTGGATAGAATCAGTTGGCAAGGAGATCCATGTGTCCCCAAACAGTTTTTGTGGGATGGTCTAAATTGCGATAACTCCGATAATTCTACTCCACCAATAATAACTTCCTTGTAAGATAAATCATTCAATAGTTTATATATGTCAATTTTGAATTCGATATCTCACGTTTTATGTCTCCAGAGACTTATCTTCAAGTGGACTAGTTGGGACTATCACACAAGCAATTCAAAACCTTACTCACCTGGAAAAATTGTAAGTATCTTCACCAGCTTACCAAATTTAAAATTTATTTAGCCTATATATCGCATTTGATATGTTTTTATACTTTGTTAACGGTAGGGACTTGTCAAATAATAATTTGACTGGAGAAATACCTGAATTTCTAGCTGACATAAGATCACTTTTGGTCATGTAAGTCTCTCATTAGACACTGCTATTTTGACATTTTCTTTTAACTAGGTTCTCTTATAAACCTGATTGGTTATGTTTTGACACATTATCTATTATATCAGAGACTTAAGTGGTAATAATATCACTGGCTCAGTCCCTCCTTCAATTCTTCAGAAGAAAGGAATGAAGTTAAAGTAAGCTTAAATTATATATATATATATATATATATTTCTTTTCAATTGCTATCCCATGAATTGATGTAACTGGCATCTTTAACACCACTTGCATTTTTGCAGTGTCGACAACAACCCTCATCTTCTTTGCACAGGTGGTTCATGTGTGAACAATGGAGATGATAGACATAAGAAAAAGAGTATCATTGTACCCGTGGTTGCATCAGTTGCTGCACTAGGCGTTCTTATTGGTGCATTCATCATGTTCCTTGTTCTCAGAAAGAAAAAGGCCACAAAACCTGAAGGTATCAATCAATAAATAAACTCTTGAGTGTTATCAAAAAATACATATATACTAATCCATCGTATATGCAATCATCAGATGGAAGATCATCTCAACAGGCAATACTGACAAAGAATAGAAGATTTACTTACTCAGAAGTTATAACAATGACAAATAACTTCCAAAGAGTCCTCGGTAAAGGAGGGTTTGGAGTAGTTTATCATGGTGTTGTGAATGGTAGAGAACAAGTAGCTGTTAAGATTCTTTCCCATTCATCATCTCAAGGATACAAAGAATTCAAAGCTGAGGTAGATTTCTCACCTTCATCATCACTACTTTAAACAAAGCTATCTTTAATATCATCATAAGATTTTGAATTATGATTCTTGGTGTTTAGGTAGAACTTCTTCTTAGAGTTCACCACAAAAATTTGGTTGGTCTTGTTGGATACTGTGACGAAAAAGATAAGTTGGCTCTCATTTATGAATACATGGCCAATGGAGATTTAAAAGAGCATATGTCAGGTAAGCAGACATAAATAACCAATTGAATTATTGTAACTTTTATGGTGATATCATACATATATAACATTTCTCCATTTAAACACACAGGAACACGTAACCGGTTTCTTTTAAATTGGGGAACTAGACTAAAAATAGTCATTGACTCTGCACAAGGTTGGCTTTATAGATTATGTCTATGATTTTTCTTTTGCTTTTCATTAGATTACAACCTTCCTGATTGTGTGACATAGGACTTGAGTATTTGCATAATGGATGTACACCACCAATGGTTCATAGAGACGTCAAAACCACAAACATATTGTTGAATGAACATTTTGAGGCAAAACTTGCTGATTTTGGGCTTTCGAGGTCATTTCCAACAGAAGGTGGAACTCATGTGTCAACGGTTGTTGCTGGAACTCCTGGCTATCTAGATCCTGAGTAAGTATTAACTGCTTAAAAAATTATACATGTTCTTTAATGAGAAAAAGAAATTGATGAAAATCTATCTTACCATTCTTGTCCAGATACTATAGAACAAATTGGTTGACAGAGAAGAGTGATGTTTATAGTTTCGGAATAGTACTGTTGGAGATAATCACAAACCAACATGTGATCGACCAAAGCCGTGAAAAGCCACATCTAGCAGAATGGGTGGGGTTAATGCTTATAAAAGGAGACATAATAAGCATTATGGATCCAAGTCTAAACGGAGATTACGATACTGGTTCAGTGTGGAAAGCTGTTGAGCTAGCAATGTCTTGTCTGAATCCTTCTTCAGCGAGAAGACCTACCATGACTCAAGTTGTTATTGGATTAAAAGAGTGTCTTGCATCTGAAAATTCAAGAGGAGCGAGTAGGGACATGGACTCAAAGAGTTCTATAGAAGTGAGCTTGACCTTAGATACTGACGTGAACCCAACGGCTCGGTAGATTACATGAATTTATCTATTTGCTGTGTGACCTGTGTCTATGTTATGGAACTATCTTCAGACTTGTATGTTTCCACAGGCGCTCACATTCTCTTATTATGAAAGTGTAAATCAATACTAATACCCATTCAACAAGATTCCAGTTGCTGTAATTTTTTATTCCCATTTTTAGTTGTAGTCACTTGTACTTTACACCATGGAGATGCAAATGAAAATGACAAAACAACTGTCATCAAATGAATTTACCTCATCTCTTTATATAATCTGACTAAAATAATTTTTAGACCTCTAAGCATGGAACATGATAAATCTTATAATCCTACGGGACTAATAAAAGAACTCAAACTCTCTTTATTCACTAATCTGTCAGGTCAAAAATATGTTTAACCATCCCAATACCTAAGGAAGAAGATGCTTATGATAGATTTTAGGTATATCGAACTTCTGAGATTCAGAAATGTAAACGATCTTATTGATAGGAATGTAAGTACAAGTGTTTATGAATCTCGAATTACAACTCAAAGCTTGAATCTCAAGATCTCATAGCGATCTTGAGCTTAGACTCATGGCGTCCAAGGTGTAACAACAAACAAGCATGAAAAGACTAACAAACTCCAACTTCTTTATTTAACTCAACTCCAACTGCTATTCCTTCTAACGGCAAACCTTCTTTCCGAGATAGAGTGTTTGCATTCTTTTAAATCTTTGAACCCTCTGTCTCCACCAGAGTTTCTCCACTTCCTTCAAACTTCTTATCCTTCTTCCTGAACTAAGCACGTTGATACTTATCAATACTCCCTCCTTTGAAATCAAGCTTGTCCTCAAGTTTGAAGTCAGGAAACTGCTGCACAAACTCAACATAAGACATCCACGAGTTGTCATGAAACGGACAACCCTTCCATGTGACTAACAATTCCAAAAATCCCTCTTCATCATAGCGTTTAGCAATCACATCCTCTGGAATCACCAAAGCATCCAATTCATCCAAGATTTCCAACGGTAAAGGTTCAACATGTGAACAATTACCCAAAGCTAACTTCAACCGAGACACATGAAACACGGAGTGTATCTTCGAAGACGGTGGCAACTGAAGTTTATAAGCTGTCTTACCAACTCGTGCTAAGAATGGAAAGGGATCAAAGAACTTAGCAGCAAGCTTCTGACAGACCCGTTTAGTCACAGAGTATTGTCTATATGGCTTAAGCTTCAGAAACACCAAATCTCCCACCATAAACTCAACATCTCGGCGATGACCATCAGCACTCTTCTTCATAAGTTCCTGTGCACGCAACAAATTAAGCTTAATCTGTTCCAACATCGCATCTCTCTCCCTCAAAGCTGATTCCAACTCAAAGTTCTTCGTAGAACCCTCCTCAAACCTCACCAACGAAGGAGGATCTCGGCCATACAAAACAGAGAATGGAGAAGCCTTCAACGATGTATGAAATGACGTGTTGTACCACAACTCAGCCCACGCCAAATACTTATGCCATGTATGCGGATGAGAAGAAGCAAAACAACGTAAATATGTCTCCAAGCAACGATTCAAAACCTCAGACTGCCCATCAGTTTGGGGATGAAACGCAGTGCTAAACTTCAGTTTTGTGCATGACAAACGAAATGTATCAGTCCAAAAAGCACTCAAGAATATACGATCACGGTTATACACAATGCTCTGTGGAAACCCATGTAAACGGACCACCTCTCCCACGAATTTTGATGCCACATCCACGGTTGAGAATGGATGTTTCAAGGCCAAGAAATGACCATACTTACTCAATCTATCCACCACGACCAAAATGACATTGAAACCTTGAGAAGTAGGTAATCCCTCAATAAAATCCATGGTGATATCATCCCACACTCGAGTCGGAATAGGCAAAGGTTGAAGTAAACCAGCCGGAGATAAAGTCGAAGACTTATGAGTCTGACAAATAGTACACTCAGAGACCAACTGCTGAACTGACTTAGCCATCCCTTCCCAATAAAAGTTCTGTTGAATCCTCTTCAAAGTTTTGAGTACACCATAATGACCTCCCAACTTGCTGTCTTGACACTCACTTAGAATCAGAGGAAGAAACCGAGATTTCTTCGGAAGAAACAACCTCTTCTTATACCACAGCCTCCCATCCAACACTTGGTAATTCGAATTCTTAACCAACCCTGCAGCAACTTTGTCACGTAAAGATACCACCTCTGCATCCTTATCTATCTCCCTAAACATATCATGTAACTGCAACACCGAAGGAAATGTTAAAGCCAACAACCATGAACTCATTGACCCCTCAGACTTGTCCATACTTCTGGAAAGGCCATCAGCTGCTTTGTTCTCACACCCTGGCTTGTAAAAGATATCAAAATCATAACCCAATTACTTCGTAAGGCATTTCTGATACTCCATATTCACCTCTTTCTGCTCCAAAAGAAACTTCAAGCTGCGTTGGTCAGTATGAACAACAAACTTCCTACCCAACAGATAATGTTTCCATTTTTGAACAGCCATAACCACTGCCATAAGCTCTCTTTCATACGCTGGTTTCAGTTGTTCTCTATCCGTCAACGCATGACTAAAGAAAGCAATAGGATTTTTGGCCTGCATCAGAACTGCTCCCAAACCAAAACCAGAAGCGTCAAATTCAATAACAACTGCTTCGTAAAATCAGGAAGAGCCAGCACAGGAGCCGTGATCATAGCTGTTTTCAAATTCTCAAAAGCCAACTGAGCCGCCGGGGACCAAACAAACTTATTTTGCTTCAAAAATGTTGTCAAAGGCTTAGCCAAAGACCCATAATGACGCACAAATCGACGATAGTATCCTGTTAACCCAAGAAAACCACGCAGCTGCTTAATTGTCTTCGGTTGAGGCCAAGCCTTCGTGGCTTCAGTTTTAGTAATTTTCGTAGCTACACCATCAGCTGAAATGATATGTCCCAAATACTCCACCTGTGCAATACTAAACACACACTTCTTCCTGTTTTCCAACAAATGGTCTCGGAACACTTGCAGAACTGCAGCCAAATGCTGAACATGAGACTCCAAAGACTTACTGAACACCAAGATATCGTCGAAGAAAACCAAGACAAACTTCCGGAGAAATGGCTTGAATAACTTATTCATCAGAGCTTGAAAAGTAGACGGAGCATTAGTTAGGCCAAAAGACATAACCAAAAACTCATAATGACCTTCCACAGTGCGAAAATCAGTTTTCTGAATGTCTTTCTCCTCCATTCTAATTTGATGGTAGCCAGAACAGAGATCCAATTTAGAAAAAACCACAGCACCATGAAGCTCATCTAACAGTTGATCAATCACCGGAATAGGGAACTTATTAAGAACCGTAGCTCGGTTCAAAGCTCTGTAATCCACACAAAAACGATAACTATTATTCTTCTTCTTCACCAGAAAGACTGGACTTGAGAAAGGACTAGAATTTGGTCGAATAATGCCAGCTTGCAACATCTCATTGACCATTTGTTCCATAACAATTTCCGTGTGGTGAGGGTATCTATAAGGACGAACAGATACCTGAGACACTCCAGGTAACAAATCAATGGAATGCTCTGTCCCACGGAATGGTGGTAGCTTTGTTGGTAAAGCAAAAACATCATCAAACACCACCAAGACATGAGACACTGCTGACGGAATTTCTGGAGTGGTAGTTGATACTTCTGTACTAGTATAAAGCACTTCTCTTCCTTGTATACCAGATGAGAAGTGGGGATACAATGATTGAAACAAAGGAGGAGTACAATGTAAATTCGGATCTCCACACAATGTAACTCGCTTCCCTTGATAGACAAATGAGAGTTCTTGAGCTTTCCAATCTATCTCACATTTGCCTAAAGTTTCCAGCCATTGTATACCCAAAACCAAATCAACCGCTCTCAATTCCAAAGAGATGAAGTCTGATGTGAATGTTGTAGAGCCTAATTCAAACGCTAGAGATTTGCAAACCCCTAGAGCTTTCACTATATCTCCATTACCTAGTAACACATCAAGGCTACTGTCTGCAAAAACTTTCAATCGTATCCTCTTCACAACTTCAGGAGAAATAAAGTTGTGGGATGCTCCACTATCAAGCAAGACTATCATCTCTAAGTTCCCAATTTTTCCATGTAACTTCGTTGTTTTAGGTGAACTGTACCCCAGAAAAGAATTCAAGGACAATGTCTTCAATTCAGAACCCCATGTTGGATGTGCTAACAACATCTCACCATCCTCATCAGTTAAGACTTCCAGCTCCAAACCATTCATGACTGTGAGAACTCGTAGTTCCTTGTTAGGACACACCGCAACATGAGCTTTGGACCACTTAGCTCCACATTTAAAACAAACTCCTTCTCGACGCATATTATCCAATTCTGCATCACTAAATCTCTGTCGAGGTCGTTGATTTACTGCTTGTTGCCACATCTTTATTCTGTTCCACATCAACCACCACCGGCTTCTGTTTATCCGTGGTAGAGTGATTGCTGTTAACACTCGACGTTGAGTAATAAGAGGACTTCGAACCACCTTTTGAAGTGTTGTTTCTACCCCTAGATGCATCGCCAACAACCTTACAAAAGGCACTTGTTTCCATCCGAAGAACAGCTGCAATGTAGTTTTTCAAACCTTGAGGATCTTTCATACGTATGACTTCTTTCATTTCTGCATTCAAACCATTATAGAAGATTCTTTCCAAATGATGATCAGCTAAGTCCGGAACCTGTGCAGACAAATCTTCAAATTCAGTCACATACGCCTGCACAGAACCAGTTTGTGTAATAGCAAACAACTTTGTCTCAGGCTCCTCATCAATAGATTTGGAAAAACGCACAATCATCTTCTGCTTAAAATCTTCCCAATTACAAAATCCTTCGCGTTTCATCACCCACGCAAACCACTTCTTAACTGCACCACGTAAACACAGAGGAACCATCTCTAACTTCGACTCCTCTGTATAACGTCCCAACAAAAAGAAGTATTCCACATCTACAATCCATTCATAGCGTTTCGATCCATCGAAAGTAGGCATTTCCACTCTTCACCATACTATCACGATTCGCTAAATGCAATTCACCACTCCGATAACCTAACGAGTAGTTGTTCCTGTTATGTTCCAGATCTGCATATCGTACCTGAGGTTGAGATACCGACGAATCGGAAAAACGTAATGGAGTCTGAATCGGGTCTGAATCATCCATCAAACGCTTCTCCAACGCTCGTAAGAGGTTATCCATCTTCTTCTCCATTGAATCGAATCGCGAATCCATCGAATCAAAACGCTTATCCTTTTCCTGCGCATCGATACAAAGCGTACCATAAGCTCCGGTCAAAAACGTAAGACGATCCTTCACCGACGCATTAGGATCGAGCTGATCCATAGAAAATGCCGATTTCGCCGATGACGGAGGAGACATAGCCGCGTAAGTAGATCGAAACGTTTCACCGCACCAATGATAGATTTTAGGTATATCGAACTTCTGAGAATTGGAAATGTAAACGATCTTATTGATAGGAATGTAAGTACAAGTGTTTATGAATCTCGAATTACAACTCAAAGCTTGAATCTCAAGATCTCATAGCGATCTTGAGCTTAGACTCATGGCGTCCAAGGTTTAACAACAAACAAGCATGAAAAGACTAACAAACTCCAACTTCTTTATTTAACTCGACTCCAACGGCTATTCCTTCTAATGGCAAACCTTCTCTCCGAGATAGAGTGTTTGCATTCTTTTAAATCTTCGAACCCTCTGTCTCCACCAGAGTTTCTCCACTTCCTTCAAACTTCTTATCCTTCTTCCTGAAGTAAGCACGTTGATACTTATCAGCTTATCAATAGTGATCAGATGCTATAGTCTAAACTGAAGCATTAATCATAAGAGAATCAAGATCAAAATCTGTTAGAACCCAAGAATCTTGGGTGAAAGTTCCAGTAAGAGCTCCAATGCACTTGGAGCAAACTTTCTAGCAAATAGAGAACAAACTTGACAGTGTTGATAATTGTAGAGGCAGGCTTTAGCTCCCGGAAGCTCCTTCAAAAAAGTTTCAGTTATAGCAGACTTACCAAAAGTAGCTGGATGGGAACCACCGTGTGACCACTATGTCCATGTCAGTGTCCTATTAGCTAGCAAAATCCGGTTTTGAATAGCCAACGTTGTAGGGAAATAATACTCATCAACAGAACATCGAGTACAAAACTCTTTGAATTTGGGATAGTAAGTGATGTCTTGTACAATCTCAAGAGCGAGTTTCCAGTTAATTCCAAACCTGTGAGACCCTTTCCTCCACTGGCTCATTGTGTATCTTCCTCTTCCATCAGGTCCTTCCTCATTAGCACAACCCATGAAACTATATCTTGATTCAGAGACATAACTATAGACAAAGATGAAACCGCGCAGAGGAATGCATGATTCAAAAAGCAGAACAAACCATTCATTAGAGATATCAAGCAACGCGTTAGCTAGAAGCCTCCTCTCAGCTTCACACATACTCATCTCTCCCCATGCCACATCCTATATTTCAGAGATATTCACATGTGTGAGGAGGAATACAAGAAGAAGTGTTTTGTCTGAATACATCAATGACATTACCTGACCTATTATATATCTTCTGTAAAACACAGATTATCTTGAAAAAATCTTATCTCTAATTAGGCAATGCATGAACAAAGATTGAGTAAAGACCCCCTTGCCCCTTAAAGAGCATCTCCCAAAGTGGAGCAAATGGTAAGTTTAGGAACCCTTTTAAACGGATATAAATTCCTTCTTGGCTCCACCGAAGCGAGCCAAAGCAATTCACTGTCATTAATTGTGTGCCAAACATTCAAAAGCCTGAAAAAGCTCTCTAAAGTAACAGTTCAATGATCATACATAGAGAACTTGATCATGTGTAAACCGACAACAGAGATTCCAAGAGACAAAACAAGAAACAATAACAGAATCTGAAGGTTCTGTATACATATCAGCTTTTTGTTTCACATTGAAACCATATATTAAAGAACTGTAAATAAACCTAACAGAATGGTGAAACTGTATACATTTAATACCAGAAAACATATGTTTACATTACAATAACATTCTCTAAAACTCTCCCGCTACAATGCCCCAATCAGCGTGGCTTTTTTTGCAGAAAGGTTTTGCAAAGCCATCAGATTCCTTAACAGAAGCTTGACACTGCATAACAATTTATTGATCTTTACATGGAAGCCTCTGTAAGAAACAATAATTAAAACTGTTACTCTTTAGAAGACATCAAAGTTCATCTTTAGAGCTACTCGGCGATGAAGTTTTCAAGTCAAGAAGATATCTTGTAGCCATGGAGGCATGGAGAGAAGCACCATAAGGTAGTACTTCTTCATTGACCTCAAAATAAGGCGAGTGAGGGCTCGCCATTGGTGGATGAGCTTTGTTTTGCATTCCCACAAAGCTAAAATGTCCAGGCATTGATTCTTGGTAGAAAGAGAAGTCCTCTGATCCCATCAATGGTTGCATCTCAAAGTAGTTCTTAGGCCCTAACATATCACCTGAAACGTTCTTGAAAAACTGGTGCAAGCCTTTGTGGTTAACAGTCGGTGGGAAAAAAGGTTTCTCCTCTTGAAGGAAATCAACCGTTGCATTACACATATGCACACTCGCTTGCCTTGTAATAACCTGAAACATTGGAACCACAAAAAGAGTTTGAAAAGTTCGGTCTCAAAAGGAAGACAAAAGTCTCAAGCTACTGACCTGCTCAATTCTTTTCTTGAGTTGTGTAAAGCTTTGAGCTGAAAAGGCTCTGAATGTTCCACCGATGGTAACAGAGTCTGGAATCACATTAAAAGCACCACCACCTTCAAATTTAGCAACTGTAACTACCTGCAAACACTCACATACATCAACACATTCCACATAGAGGCACTTGAAGAGCCAAAGATTGTATCTATACCTGCGAGTCTAAAGGATCTGCTTCTCGTGAAACGAGGTGTTGTAAACTAACGATAACGTTTGAAGCTGCCAGTATCGGATCTATGGCGTGTTGAGGAAGAGCTGCATGACCTCCTTTCCCGCTAATCTTAGCTTCGAAAAAGCCACTACCAGCCAACAGTGGACCTTCTCTTGAGCTCACTAGACCTAACCCCAATTGATTTGTAACATGTAAACCAAAGATTGCACTCACATCCTCCAAAACTCCTGCTTCCACAATCTTCTTTGCACCTCCTCCTCCTTCCTCAGCTGGTTGAAAAACTAGAATCACAGTACCCTAAGATAATCCAAGAAATTTACAAGAACTCAGAGATCAGGATGCTTCCAAAAGATTTCTATTTCATATAAAAACCCAGTACACACCAACCTGTAGCTCATCCTGGTGCTCTTTGAGCAACTTTGCAGCACCTAAGAGCATGGTAGTGTGAGCGTCATGTCCACAAGCGTGCATCTTCCCTGGAACCTTACTCTTGTGTTCCCATTCCACCATTTCCTACACAATCCAACACCATCTGTTCAACAAGAATCCACCCAAAATACAGTAACATTTCTCATAACTCCAAACAATCCAAGCCATTAAATCCCACATAAGAAAATAAAACTACAAATCATATCAGGACAGGGTCTGTGATTTCCTAAAAAAATTTAATTTTTTTTTCTTCATAATATGTGATCTACACCTATACATATAGCCTCTAAAATTTTGGGATCAAGACCAATGCTTCATTGGGTGGTGCCCAGATCCGGCCATGAGACAGACGCTAGAAACCAAGTCCAAGTCCGAAAAAAATACAATAAAGATCGCAAAGAGAATTAAACTCAACAATTCATTAACCAAAATTAAAGTAATTTAACTACTCCATAGAACCACATACAACCAAAACCTTCATGGAGAAGGAAGACAGAACAAATGTTACTCTTTTGACTTTTGAGTATTACCTGCATATGAAGTGCATCCATAGACTTTATATAATTCCATAGAAATACAATGAAAAATCTCACATGGACTAAAACTCAACTAAGCTACAGTGACTTAACTACTCTACAGAGCAACATATAACCAAAACCATTATGGACAAGAACACATGTTCCATAAAGAAGATGAGAGTGAACAAGTCAAAGCAGTTACCTGCATAGGAAGTGCATCCATATCTGCCCTTAATGCAACAAAAGGAGCTTGACCAGTTCCAACATACCCAACAACACCAGTAACAGCAACTGGGTACTTATAAGACACACCCATCTTCTCCAGTTCTGTCCTAACGAGCTTAGACGTCTCTACTTCCTCGTAACCCAACTCTGGGTTCTCGTGGATTCTCCTTCTGATCCCAACCATCCACTCATAAAAATCGTTTCTTTTGGCTAAAGCAAGAAACTTTGGAGGGATTTGTGAAAACCCATTTGAGGTTAAGGGAGAGGAAGATGAAATCTGAGACGAGCTGAGTAAGTGAATGATCAAAAGAAAGGAAACCCATTTGCAGAGACTCATGGTTCAAGCGATTGAGGAAAGATGAGATCGAAGAGAGAGAGAGAGAGAGAGTTCTCTGCGTGATGATGAAGCAGGGAAACAGGAAGCAGAAAGTGGTATTTAAATCCGAAAATATAACGAAAGCCAAAAACAACACGTGAACTTTAAAAATGCTAATTAATTGAGGATGATGGCAAAAAAACAATAATAGTAGTAGTTAAAGACAAAGTTACAAAATAATGTTAAAAATATAAATATCTTTTTCTTCTGTGGGATCTTAAAATGCAAATTATATTGAATATTTTTGATAAATTTAATTTATCATTAGTTCTTATATAGTGATAATCAAGTTAATTACAATAAAAGTAAAGTATATTTAATATCAGATTATTTTAATTTTTTATAGTATTTATTAACATAATAATCAGTATTTTATTCTGTTCTAAAACTAAATACAGTATAATTCTATTTATTACATAACTATGGCTTTAGAAATAAAACATGTTGCAATATAAATACTAAAATATATTTTTTTGATAGAGCTTTATATTTCTTTTTCCAGTTTTTTTTTTTTTTGAAACTGATTGATCTTTCCAAAAATGTTGATCAGCATAATTACATTTTTTAAAAACCATAAATTTTGATTGATAAAATATTTGTGGAATTTTGTTTTAAACTTACTTCTGTTATTTTCTAGCACACCACACTAACAAATTGCGTCTCTGTTTCATAAATTCATCATTCCTTGGTTGATTACATGATCAAGTTGATAACTCTTTGAAAATAGTTTTTACTCAAGAAAAGAAGAGTGATGGGATATTTCTTTGGATGGAAACCTAGGTCATGAATGGGAGGGGCAGGACAAAGGCAGATCATGCAGTTCTCCCGCAATAGGCAGTTCTCCTGCCTTATGTTTACCATTCACCATTTTTTGTTTGTAAAAGCAGTTCAAGCGGGAGATCTGCATGCAGTTCAATTTTTTTTGTCTTTTAGTAGAAAAAGCAGGAGATCTGCATGCAGATCCCATCCGCTAACATTTGGTGGTGTTGATCTGCCTTTTTTTCCTTTTTTAAATAAATAGTTTTATTACAAACACTTAACTTTAAAATATATTTATTTAATTTTATAAATAATGTACAATTATTAACTCAAACTATATAGTTCACATTAATATTATTTGTGTCATTTTAAAGTTATAAGCATGATGTATAATCGCCAAAAAACAAAATATTTTCCACGAAAAATATAAAATTTTCTACATAAGTGTCAGCAAAAAATAATTATTTTATATTTAAAATAATTAATAAATAGAAGAAGTATAAGCATGTAATAAAAAATTTACAGACATTTCGGCTGAACATACAATATCTGAAATATTTGTTTTGATATTTGGTGTAATTTTTATTATTTTAATATATGATATATAATGTGAACATATTTTGTCATTTTAATTTATAATAAATTATTTAATCTGTTTTATCTCCATTTTTATATATAAATATTAACAAAGAATTAAATATTAGGATGTCTGTTCTTCAAAAATAATTTTGATAAACTAAAAAACGCTACAAGCAACTTATGAAAAATCCAATAAACATTTAGGCTGATCTTACAACATTTAAATATTTATATTGATATTTGGTATAATTTTATTCTTTTAATATATGATCTATAGTTTTGAACTTATTTTGTCATTCATAATTTATGATAAATTGTTTGATCTGCATCTCTCCTGCTTGATCCGCTTGATCTGCACTTGTCCTGCTTTATCTGCACTTGTCCTGCTTGATCTGCATGAACCGCTTGATCTGCACCGCTTGATCTGCTTTTACCATTCGAAGCCCTAAAGTGTAAATAATCCAAACAAGTGCACTTCAACTATTCAACATGTGTTTCTGACCCCAAAAAAGTTGACAAAGAAGAGAAGCTCACGTCTTTGACAGAGTGCATTTCACTTTCATTTGCACTGATTTTCAACATCTTTTTCTTTTAGCTTGGAAAGATCATTCATTTTTTTCAGTTTTATTTTAGGTAAGTATGACACGTGAACAGAAAGAAAATACAAACAGATTGATGAATGGTTATAATTGAATTTGTTGGCCGGTCCATTTGTTGTAGATACTACTGCTACAAACGCACATGTAAAACGTGCTTCATGTATTTTATTTATAGTTTTGTCCTTGTCAAGATATTTTCTCTATTTTAAATCTCTTTTCTTTTTAAATAATCTATTTTAAATCTTTATATTTTGCGGAATATTAAGTTTGGTTGATCTTTGATGACACAATGTTGAAGATGATAGATATCATATCCACTAGGGTAGCTCTATTTTTTAGAAAAAAGAAACAAGAATCAAAACAAAGAGCCTAACAAGTGACGTACATAGAGTGGAGTTAACTTTTACATTGCTGATTCTCTAAAGAACAAAAAGCTTTGAACCTTTTGTTCTCTCATACGAGTTTACTTAAAACAATGTTCGAAGGAACTGAGACTATGAGACAAAACAAACATCAAGAAAAGAACATGACAGTTCAAAAACAAGCAATGTGAGTTATAACGTGAAACAAGCAAGCAGTAATCTCATCTCTCCAACCTCTAAATCTTTCAGTTTTACAACTCAACCACTAAACTACTGCTATATGTACATTTGCTCATGTTTTGCCTCTCTCTGCATGACTCCAAAGTCTCCTAAAGCAGCCTATTTCCATCTCAGTGTATGCTTCAAAACCCAGGCAGATCAATGAAAGGGAAAACAAAACAAACAGTAAAACGTAAATGCCAACCAAAAGTTTTCGCTACCTCTCTCTCATGTTCTGCCAGCAGATGGCAATGGGCGGTGTTGTGTTTGCCTTCCTGAGCCTTTCAATACTTGGTTTATCCTACTAAAGACTATTTTCAACGGTATACAAGCTACAACCGTTTCCTTGACCCTTTCTGTTGTCTGCTTCTTGCTTCTTTCCGTCAGAGTAGAGAGCCGCCTTGTCTTTACCGATAAGGAAGATGATTTCTTCTTTGACTTTCCAAAATCACCATTTGTTTTCCTCTTCTTGACCTTCTTTTTGGGCAATGACTTTGCCTTCACAACACCTTTAGACATCACCATACCACCATTGTAGTAGTAGCCTTCTTCCAAGGCTTCAACACTTACAGGATGCCCAACAATAGCCTTACTATTCAATTTACTCATACGAGAAACCAGCGGAACACGGGGCTTGTTACTGCTCGCTTTTACCTCAATCTTCACTTCGAACAGCGTAGGAAGAAGCAGAGGAACGTTGCTGTTATTAGCTTCTTCGCCGAACACACTTCTTCTCGCTTCTTGTTTCTTACTCATCTGCCTTGAGTTCCTCTTTCCTTTTAGCTGCCACTTAGAAGTGCTCTTCTCAATCCCGTTGGAATTCCAGATGGCAAGTTGTGTATCTGGTGGATTTGCACAAGCAGATCCATTACATGCCTCTTTCTTAACAAACACATCATGACTACTAGGACCACACCGCCTTATCAAACCAGAAACAAGAGCTGTCCTTGATGAGGACATGGTGCAAGCTGCTGGAAAACCTAAAGTGACAACGGAGGTCAGTATAAATGACACTGTCACAAACCACTAAGAAATCAAACCTTTGGATCCTAAGAAGGTGGAGAAAACACAATATAGCATATAACATTGCAGAAGCACCTAAGCTACTATTTTTTGCAGACAATGGTCGTAGGACCTCTTTAATCTATTATGTGACAAAACTAACTTGAAGAGAATAGCAAGCTTTTGTTTATTTTTACTTCGCGCAGTGAAGACATGTAGATTCTTGCAACTAGAGCAACCAAAATCTGTACAAACATAAACATAGCACTTAAACAAGGTTTAAAACCGTTGATACCTGTAGACTGTTGTGTTTCTTCAGTTAGTGGAACATCATATAAATGGACAGAAGAATCGTCCTCCGCAGAAACTGATAAGGCTCCAGCAACATTTTCAGGAGCATTCTCGCATGAATTCCCAGTGCTGTCTGAGTTGTTGTTGATTACAACAGATACACTTTTCATGGATTCGACAGACTCCATTCCAGATACTTTGCTGTCATTAACCCCTTGACAATCAGAAGTGACAAGCTGGTCAGAGGTACCAGGGACACAGACCATAGCTGTACACTCTAACACCTTTGTCAGTTGCCGGCGTCGGTTTTTCTTTTTAGAGCAGTCATTAGCATTTGTGACTTGTGACCTTTTTCTTTTCAGTGACAACGGTGAGCATAGCTTGTATCCATTGGGAACAATATAACCATTCGACACTGAATCGCTGAGGTTTACATCACAGACCGAACCCATTTCTTGCCTACGCACGACAATAGCACCGACATGTTCTTTTCCAATATCCTCAAGACCTCTCATTCGCTTGGTTCCTTCAGTTCCATCATCTTCGGAGTCATTCGGTGTTCTTCTTCTCTTTGGCTCGACCGTCACCAAAGCTCCAACGTTATTCATTTCTTGGGAAGACATACTAGATTGCAGTACCTCAAGTCCATCTTCAGCTTCTCTTCCATCTTCAGAGATTGTATCCTCCTCACCGGATGAGCTACACAGATTATCATTTGGATGGTCTTCTTTTGCAAGATGTGCATTCTCAATCTCAAGAGCACAGATAATGGCATTCTCTCTGCGAGTGCATTTGACAGTCTTCTTACTACTAGCCCTCGCTGCAGCAGCAGAAGCCTTTGCTTTCTCAATGTGAGCATCATACTCTCCACAACGAAACGCCTTCACGCTCTTGGACTTTTCAAGAATGTACCACTCACTGAAGATTCATAAGAAACAAAAAAAAAGACACCTTTAACCAGCAATCAAAGAACAAAGAGACTGAGATAGTGGGAAAAGAGACTCACATGCCAACATCATCACGACCTAGAAGCTTTATAGGAGTGCCAGGTTTTGGAGAAACCAGAGAGTTTTCAGGAACTTCCTCATGAAGCAGAGTCTGTCCAGGCCACCAAGAACCATTACGGAGACGAACCCAGACCAGTCTTCCTACTGAAGCCTTAATAGCCTTCAGGTTTTGGTCATCATTACTCTCCATTACACAACAAGACACTCCAAAAAGAACACAAACCAGGAAAAAAAAAAGGGCAAAACTTTCGAACTGACCTAACAAAAACAAAATCAAAACTTTCTTAGAAAAATCTCAATGAAGTTACTCTCTTTCATAAGACAAAAGTATGCTCCTTTCTTGAATCCTGCAACCAACAAAGACCAGTGGAAAACCTTAAAGACACCCCAACATGCAACCACAAGCTCAGAACTTTAAAAACAATGACTAAGCTCGTTAGAAAAAAAGACGGTTTCTTAAGACAGAGATCTGGAAAGAGAAGCCGTACCGAAGAACCAGAGATCCAGATACTCATTTGAGCTACTCAGTTGTGTTTCTTTTCAATGTAGAGTGCGTTTCGTATTGTCTATCAACCTAATAGCGTTCAGACCAGGTTCTTGTTTTGGTTTAGGCTCCGGCGGTTTGGAGAAGACAGCAGGTTCAGAGAGAGAGAGAGAGAGTGAGGAGAGAGAAAGGGCTTATTTTGGATGGAGGGAGAGAGAGGAGGTCAAAAAACACATCCAAGGTTGAGAGACTCTTAACTGCAGAAAACGAACGACACCGTTTTGGAAACTTTCTCTTCCCCTTTTAGGTTATCTATCTTTCATTACGTCACCCGTCTAGCCACGAGTCAAACAAACCGTGACTTCTATGTTCAGAGGTGTCAACTTTGGTAATAATGACGGTGACTTTCAACAAAATCGCTTCCAAATTTTCATACTTTTTTTTGTTTAAACATCATACACCTTTCCAAATTTTCATAAGTTATGACAATCAGAAACTACACAAACTGTGTGCGGTTTGTTGGAGATTGAATGGTGTCTCTAACTGTACCAATCCAAGAACAAGACAGAGAAAGTAAGGACGAAGAAAAACAGTAAGAGAAAGGTTCTGCTGCTGCTGTTACGTTGGATTGCTTGAGAAAGCTCTTTGTTTCCAAGCTCCACGTTCTTCGTTGCCTCAACAGCCTGCATTTTAGTGTCAAGTTGGGTGAGAAACAGACCATAAGGTACACACACACACACACAGAAAGAGAGCCACCAAAACATGGAATGAATACTGAGAATGGCATTAACACACACAAATGGAGTTTTTAAAAACTTAGCATAGCTGAAAACAGTAAGAGTTCCCTTTCCTACCACTACATTGAAGAGATATTCAAACTGGACCAATACGAAGTTTCTTTGCTGTCTCTATTCTACTCTAGCTGAATGCAAAAAGGAGAAGAACTGAAATAAAAATAGCATCCGGATTCAAAGAGCAAGGAAATCTTGACCAAACAGTGCCTTGACATGAGAGCTTGAGGGGAGTTAATAAATCCTAACCTGGTCATATAAAACTTCTATCTGTTGGGCTTGTTGGAGAACATGAGTTGCCATCAAGTGGTTCAATGCAGACATCTCCACCATCTTAGTCTCCGTCTGCCTAGCACCATCTAAAAGATTACTCAGCTCTACCTGCAAGAATTACAAATATTCAAGATTAAGCACAAGTACAAAACTCATGCAAAGTTTCTGACGACCAGATAAAGTTGTTGACTTGTTACCTGAAGGGCTTGTGTTTCATCGTCTAGAAGTTGTTGTTGTTGTTGTAGTCTACGAGGCTGGGCCTGAATTTCATCAGGTTCTATGGCCTCCGGATTTGCCAGAGTCGCATTAACTGGACTAGCTTCCTTAGGGATCCTCTTAGGTTTTCTTCTCGGCATAGCTCGGTTAATAATATCTTGGAAACGAGTAGCTCTAAGCTGGTCAAACTGTGCAGTGACTGAATGTAGCTTCTCGCTTAAAATCAGAACCTACAACCATAATTGCACATTTAGAAACTCTGAATGATTAAAGAAAAAAAAACAAAGTTGGGTTACTACATTGGTGTGCATATTATCATACCACTCCATGTTTGTGTGCAATAGTATCAGCATTGAAGTTATCCCCTGCGAGGCCAAGCCATCCTTTGGAGTTTGATTCTTCATTCCTAATGCTGTTTTTGAGTATATCAATCTGTTCTTTGCAAGCTTTAATAAAAGCAGTAATCTGCAAATAAAAAGAGCCTAAATGTTACTACACAACACATACAAAGCAGAAAAATTTCTTGAGCCAATCAACACAAAGACATATAATAACGACGTAAGATCCGAGTTACCCAGTGTCACAATATAGTAACTCCCTCGCTATCGTAGATACTAATAGATATTCATGTTCCTGAGTTTTGACAATGGTGAAATGCTACATTTCTTAAGAACTTGTAGTAACTCCGTCACTATATCTATAATATGGTCTCAAGTCTGGCTACCAATCAAACAGCAGAGGAGGAGATATAATAAGAATGTAAGATCAAAATTCAATGTCACACAATATAGTAACTCCCTCATTATCTTCTGAGGCAATGGACATTCATAATCCATTATGTTAAATCACAAACGCAACAAACTTCATGGAAACGCATAGAATATATGGTCTCAAGCCAAGCTAAGATGAGTACTTACTTCTTGTTCAATGCTATCCTTTTCATGTTCAGTAGTCCGGTGGATATCAACGTAATCCTTACGATGCTTCATCATAAACTGATCCAACTCCTTGATGCTTTCCAGCTATAATCACCCAAATATCATTCAATTCAATGAAATACAAAACTACACTTCGTAGATGGTTTTTGAGAATCAAAGTCTTACTGTTTTGAAAGCAGCCTTGGTGAAAGGAGACCTCTCTTTTGGCTTATGTATGATGAAAGACGCCATTGTCGACGCAATTTTAGCCTTTTTTTTTGCCACACAAACGCCAAAAACAAATCAGATGATTCTCTCAACAAATACGATCTAGATTCAATCCAAGGAGATGAAATTAAAGGGGACTTGTTACCTCGTTGTAGCCGTTAGAGACGGCGGCTTTACGAACAGAATCCTTGAAATCCTCTGTTCTGTCTCTGAATCTCGACATCTCTCGCACAGAGAATATAGATCGAACCGTGTTGTTACGGTTGATATCGATCAGCCGACGATTTCTTCGGATTGTGAGACGGGTTTTTGCTCCGGCGGGATCGAAGAGAAAAAGGTCGTTCCTTCCTTCTTCCAGTTTTGTGAATAGAGACGACAATTGAAAAAGACGTTTTGGGTTTGGGATCTTAAAACGACGCCATTTTGGGTCGCACAGAAACTAACAAACGATGCCGCTTTAGCACCTTTAAAGTAGTACAGAAACTAACCAACGACGGATAGTTAAGTTTTTCGTAGTCATTAGTATGGAAGATAAGCAGAGAGTGAAATCGATGTAGAAAATGTGGCTGTTCAATATTTTGTGATCTTTTCTCTACTTCTTTGCCAACCGATGTAGATAGTTTGCTCCGTTTTATTTCAGAAAAAGTGTCCCAAACCGACATTAGGTTACTCTTAGAGAAATCGTCGAAATAAGAAATTAAGAAGGCTCTTTTTGAGATTAATCCTGACAAAGCACCGGGACCGGATGGCATGATTAGTAAATTATTTCAGAGATTCTGGCTGGAGATGCGCCAAGACATTATCAGATTTGTATAAGATTTCTTTGAGACATGCTTTCTTGACCCTCTGTTGAACCAGACAAATATATGTCTCATCCCTAAGAAAAAGAAACCCAAGAACATGACCGAGTTCAGACCTATTAGTCTTTGCAATGTTAGCTATAAGATTATATCTAAGCTATTATGTAAGAGAGTAAAGAGGGTTATACCACACTTGATCTCAGAGACACAATCAGTTTTTGTGGAAAAAAGTTTGATTACTGATAACATTCTGATAGCACAAGAGAATTTCCATGCACTACGGGCGAATAACAGATGCATGAAAGATTTTATGGCTATTAAAATAGACATGAGCAAAGCTTACGATAAAGTGGAATAAAGTTTCATAGAAGCTTTGATGTTGAAGATGAGATTTGATGAAAGACTGGCTGACCTCATTATGTGTTGTGTCACGTCAGTTTCATATCAAGTCCTTGTCAATGGTCAACCGAGAGAGTGAATTTTACCAAAGCGGGGGCTGAGGCAGGGAGACCCTCTCTCCCCCCTTTTTGTTCATTTTGTGCACCTAAACTTTGATATTACTCCTTAACGGAGCAGAAGCGGAGAAGAAGATTGTGGTTCTTCGCGTTGCCCATGCGAGCCCGAGGATCTCCCATCTCCTCTTCGCTGATGATAGCCTTTTCTTTTGCAAGGCGAAAGTAAGCCAATGCAAGGAGATTATGGATATTATAGCCATCTATGGGAAAGCATCAGGACAAAAACTAAATGCGGCGAAATCTTCGATGCTCTTTGGAAACAGAGTGGACTACCCCCGGAAACAAGAGATAAAAGAAGTATTGGGTTTTTCTACTGAATGTGGAATGGGAATGTACCTTGGATTACCTGAACAAATTTGTGGCTCGAAAACCAAAGTATTCTCCTACGTACAAGATCGGCTTAATGGGCGAGTAAATAATTGGTCATCGAGACTACTCTCGAAAGGAGGAAAAGAAGTTCAGATTAAAGCGGTGGCTCAAGCAGTTCTGACATACCCAATGCCGTGTTACTTGATTCCACAAGGTATTACTGATACCACTACAAGAAAACACGTCTTTTATTAGGACGGATTTTCCTCGTTATTTCCTAGTAAAGGGTCCTTTACTAGGAAATAACGAGGAAACGCGTTTCGTCGAAAGACGTTCATCGTAAAGCATATTTTCCTCGTAATTTCCTAGCTAATTTAAGAGGAAACATTTCCTCGTAAACGCGTGGATACGTTTTCCTCGTAAGGTCCACGTAGGCTTTCCTCGTAAGCTCATAGTAAACTATTTCCTCGTAATCTCGTAGTAGGATCTTTACGAGGAACTTGCTAGGAAAGTTTACGAGGAGTTTACTTCGAAACCTTTACGAGGATTTTGGTTCGAAATAATTTTTCCTATTTAAAAAAAAATATTTATAAATTAAAATTATATATATTAAAAAAATTTAAAAAAAAACAAATTATAAATAAAAAAATAAATAACAAAATATTTATAAATAACTAAATAATATACAATTAATAAGTTTTAAAATTCATAATATACAATTAAAAACTAAAAAAACTAAAAGGGATGCTGCTCTTGAAATTGGTGCACGAAGTCGTCGTCTCCAATGTTGGATGCCAGCTGTGACTGAGATGGTGGAGGCTGTTGGGGTGGAAGGGCTCCGCTTTCCCGTCTATGACGCAACATCTCCGCCACTTGCGGGTTTCCAACCGCCATAATGTCGAGGATATCGGTGAGCGTACTCACATGAGACTGCGTCGCCTGCAACTCCATCCGCAGCTGAGCATTGGCATCGTCGTGTAGATGAACATAAGCCGATGTCACTGCGGGGACATCGTTAACCAAGCCAATCCCGACAATACGGCCTTTTTCATAGGGACGACCTGTAAATAAAAATATTAATAACGTAAGGAAAAATTTAAATAAATAATAAAAATTAATATATTAAAACAAATTAATTATTTACCTCCTCGTAAATCTTATTCACTTAAAGAGTGG